ATGGGCAGGAGGTGGTATTTCGACGTGAAAGACGGCTACTGCCGCAGCTACATCTCCTGTCCAGTGTACGGCAATAACTTTGCCGATGAGGAAACCTGCAACTCCGCCTGTCGGCCAAAGCGTATTTCTGGTAGGTCAACTCTCCGTTCTCAGCTTGGACATGCAACCTACAGTAAACCATTTTATTTGCTCTCTTGCTCGCAACTTCGTTAGTGCCATGTTTAAGAGAATCGGTTTAGCTTGTTGAGTTGGAAGGCACCCTCGAATCTTGACAGTTTCCGCGCAGTTATTACAACAGTGACAATTTTCACAAATTAAACAACTTTGTGTGCTTGCGTATCAAAAGTACGATTCCTTCCCCAAACTCTAGGAGGGGTTATTCTCTTTTAATGCCAACACGCTTCAGTATATACGAACACTAAATAACCTAGTTTAACATCAGCTCTTGCTATGAAATTGCTAAACCGCCTTTCTGAGTTGGTTAAAGTAAGTTCCAAATGATTAATCTTTCCTTAATATCGAAAAAATTTTAGAAGTATGCAGGCTACCATTGGACTATGGTGGATGTTCTAACTTTCTTCCACGTTGGTATTACAACACGGACAGACGCAGATGCGAACAGTTCTCCTATGGTGGCTGTTTCGGTAATTCAAATCGCTTCCTAACCAAATTGGAATGCGACAATGCGTGCACACATAATGACGTTTGTGGACTCCCGAAACCGGTAAATTCAATCATAGCCACGCGCCTTTCTATCGCAATATCTATTCAGAGGATGTGTTGATAAACTTGACGCGTTTCTAATCGCTTAAAGGATAATCAACACTACAATCATTTTCTCTGCCTTTTCCTAACAAAAGGAATAATTGTGAATCATAGTCAACGTGTTAAAAAGTTTCAGTGGTTACTTATCGGTAGTCATTGGGTGAACTGCGTGGCATTAAACATGTCAACAAATTGGCCTTCAGCTCTGTTGCATTGGAGGTAATAAGTGTACTCCTCCCACGGAAGATATTACATGTCAGAGTGATTTCCTTTGCTAACATTGCAGAAGGATGCAGAAGGAAATGAGCCCTCTACATTGCGATACTTTTTCAACCAAACAACGGGAGAGTGCGAAAAGTTCTTTTTCAGCGGAAAGATTCCCCAAGGAAATAACTTTGCTAACGAGGCCACCTGTCATAGTGTCTGCATCTCATCACCCAATCTTCTACCCATTTCTGTGAAGGTAAACAAAATGGCCATTTCCATGGCTCGTCTTGCTACAAAGTTTGGCCATGTGGTTCTGCATCCACTCCTATCAAGAGGTAAGTTTTTCGTCACTGACTCTTTTAGCACGAGTATCATTTTACTCCGACAATCAACTTGATACAATCACCGAAGAGTTAAGGGCAGTAGTAGCAGTGTGAGAACACAAAAAAATAATCATGAATTACGTTTCTTCTGCCAATAAGCCAAAATAGATGAGCAATAAATTATTATACGCAAACATAGAATGAACCAATTTGGCCATTATTGGTCAAATTGAATTTGCTTCTAATTCGACGCATATCCACTGGAAATTATAGGGGATACCTAAGCATAGAATTTTTAAAAAAGTGCACTTGCGATTATTTTGATCTTCAGCTAAAAGCCCTAAAAAGATGTTTTCCAGATTTCGGTGATCTAGACTAAACCTAATTTTGTACTTTTTCCAAACTCCTTTACATACCCTTATTTTGACAACTCGGTCCATTAAGCGAATTTCATACTGCTTCGAAGGTTATGTAAATCGAGATGGTCAAAAGTTAATTTTGTTTAGTGAGCTCCCTATTAATTCATTTGTAAATCGACACTTGCTTTGGGTACCAATGCCCAAATAATCTGCTTTATCCCCTCTAAAAGCATTTAATTTTCCAATCAGCTAGATCATTATTGCCTTACACACTGATCTCCTGGCCTCCACACGTGATGAATTGTGTAACCATCCAAGTGGGTAAAAATTGACACATTTTCGATTATTTTCAAAAGGTACTAACTGAGTTGCAGTTACTAAGTAAACGGACCCATGAACATTAGGGTTCGAGGTGTTTGGGCGTAAGTAGTATGAGGCTTTGCTTTAACGATGAAAAGGCACCAACGCATGTTATTTCTCAGTCTGCTGAAGTACTTTATTGAGCATTTTTAGCTTATCACATTGATTTTTAACTCGCTGAGGTTTTATGAGGACAATATCTCCACCCGTCCTTAAGAAAAATGCCATTGTTTACTTATAGGTCACAAGTCGACCTGCCTCTCTTCTACGCAGTTACTGAGCATTCTCAAAAACGAGACCATCCAAAATTGCCATCCTGGCGGAACAGTAACAGAGCTGGCCTATGCGTACGACGCTGCCTCCGTCACATGTGTCCCCACGATGATTTACGTGTGTCTAGACTATCCCAACGAGCCCTACCGCATGAAGATTTTGGGCAGATCGCTTATCTTTGAGAGTCAAGCACACTGCGAAAATGAATGCCTTCGGTCTGAAAGATGAACTGTTGAAAGATCTTACATCCCCCGCTGGTTACTCATTTAGTTTACATGTTTGTTAACAAGCCCAAATCTTACTTTCACCAAACGCCTTCTGCCATGTTCCCTTTTTCGTCTTGTCACATACGCATCCGAAATGTAGCTCTCTATCTTAAGTATCAACACACATATATAAGAGTATTGTTTATGCAAGGCGGTTTACAAAACCTCTGCATTGTTAAGCTTCTACTGCATCCAGATTTTCAACCGAAAAGTTTGAAGTAGTGGTTGAGTGTTCTTCCTTTTATACAGGGTAAAGTACATTTTCCATTTCAATAAAAAAGAATTTTTCGGATTATATTTAGAAAAGTGGCTAAAATTTTACATAAGAAATTGAGGGTTCGCAAATCGCGTCAATGTTTTTGTAAAACTTAGGTGACCATTCACATCTTCATTGTGCAGCTTTCGAGCAAGAGTAACTAAAACAAAGTACGGTCAAATCGAGTGAAAGACCACAAGGGCAATGAGAAAGATATTGCCATGTAAACTCAGACCACTTGAAGCTCGGATGGGTTTGCATTTTAATACCTTCGATTTCGTATTGTAAGTTCACAGAATGGAAGTTCTACTGAGCAAATAATATCGCTGGGAGCCGCAAATACCACTGCATTGTTGGAGCGCCAGAGCTTACCCTCTGAATTCGCAGTTTGGTTTCGCCTCACTTTCTCAGAGCAGAACTAATGAATTGGAATGGTTTCATGTTGGCAAACTGGGTGCACATTGCTTTGAATTTTTAGCTACAACCAGGAAAGAGAAGAGGAAAAAATCGAAAGACTTGGGTGCAGTTGTAGGTCTGTTTATGTCCTGATTTATGACAGGCCTAAGCAGCTGACAGATGAGGATAAGTTTAAACTCTTGAAAGTTGTTATTTACCACTGTAAATGTAACTTCCTTTACGCACTGATCACTTGGGCTTGTGCAGACGGGCGACACAGACATGTTTGAAATATAACATTGGGCCAACTTAGCGATCCTATCACTTAAGCTGAACATAATTTGTTGGAAAATGAAACTGCTTATTCTTGTGTCTAGATATATGTAAATGCCACTCATGGTATCCTTTTCAAGGTTTACCAAAGGCATAGAACAGAAGCGTCAATTGTACTCAATATTATTTACTTTATGATGAAAATGCTTCTCCAATCCGTACACTTTTATTGGTTCGGCTGAATAGTTTAGTCATGATACAGTGAGATTTTGTATCAGAAAACAATGGATCCGACAGGTCAGCTACCACTTTAACACATAAACGACTTGTTGGGTCCAAAATTCATTAAGTTTGGAGTAGATATCATGAATACGGACAGAGGGGTCCAGCATACGAGTGTGAACGAGGGTGTGATCGGGGTGTTTATTCGTCGTCATCCTGCTACATATCGTTCATTTTGGGTTTACGCTGACTCCTTTGTACGCATGTGAGTGGGTATCGTGTTTATTTGGCCCAAACGAATTCGGAGGTGGGGGAGAATGCTTTGAATACTGTCGGACGGACAAGTGCCACTTACCTGTTCCACAGTACTCCTGATCACTCAGAGAATGCGTGCATTTAAGAAACCTCAGATCCCCTACAATAATGATACCCTCCACCCTTTCCAATGAATGCATACCAACTCAGGTGATTGATGCATTAACGTCTACTTAATCGGTAAGTGCCATGCCAGTGATTTCTAAGCGATCAAACAAGTTTTTCATTCCAAAAACACAAGTGATTCCATGGATTTTTCCGGAATCGGAGAACCAGAGACATTTTCAGTCGTATTTTATATTTTTTGGATGTATTTTATACTTTAGATAGAAAAGACTAATTACTCCATGTTGTCGCAATAAGTAGGGACCAGTTTTACTTACGTATAAAAACTACGGAATGCGATGTGCTGTAGTAGAAAGGGATACATATAAAAGCAACATACTCCTTTTCATGTACTACGAAAATCATGCTGGGGCGGCTTGGAATCAAGCAAGCTACAAACATGTGGGTTTCTGTCAACAAAACAAACTGGAAGTCGAACCTCAATAAGCATTGATCAGATCCTTTCTCATCACAATTTTGGTATATTCACCCTCTGAAAGTGATGAATGTCCTAATGTTGTTGTATTTTAATTGGATGTTTTAAGAGTGGGGTGTCATTTTCGGCTTCCGATATGCGCTGCTTTATTTTTGGTTTGCAGGACCTGAGGCACCATCTTTCAACGTTTCCCGAACGCAGTAGCTTTTCGACTGTGCCGGCAGCCTTCAGTTACTCTTTATTGGAAGGGGTAAAGTACTGTTTACCTTCGAAAACTGCCAAAACTCCGTA